TTTTTAGCAATATCGAAGGTCAGTCTCGTTCTTCTTTTGTTGATCTTGTCGATTTTGTCATTTTATATTTTATCATATTCATAAGTTTTTCTGAGATACCTTTGCTATGTCATTGCTTGAAGCTAATCTGTCGTTATTAAATGCTATATCAAGTCAGCTTGTGCGTAACTACACTGTCCATTGCTTAAACTATTATTTCAACGACACGAACGTATGTATGCCTCGACCAAGTAGTACACTTTCACTAAGGTAGTAGAGATGAAATCGAAAAATACCAACGACAGATATTTCTTTAGTGTCTCATTATATATTATTACAGCAAGAAGATATTGTTTTATTCACTATAGCTGTATATTATTGACATACAAAATGAATAAAAATTAATTGATCAAATCTATTATTTAATTGAATTAGAAGAGTGCCTTACAGCAAACAATTTTATTATATTTATACATTTCTACATAATATTAGGTACTTAAATATTAAAATTTAATTGATTTAAAAAATTTAATTGAGGTATTTATATTATATTATTATCTTAAACTTACATTACTTTGCATAGATATATAAAAGTAATAAATATTTTGTTATTATATTAAATATTGAACAAAAATATTCGGTTCATATTCATATGGCGTTAGATTGCTTTATGCAAGTGCGCATACTTACAAGTTTTTATGAATAACTTTTGTTTTTATCTCTATTTCTCTAATTGAAGAAAATTTCTTACGTTTTTCATATGATGATGTATTCGCTTAGGCCTAGAACCTATTTCTATTATCTTAAACTGTTACAACAATGTACGTTAGATAGATATTTTACATGTTACGCAACCTTGATTGGCTGTTTGATTGTGTCAAGTGGCGAGAACAATAGCCCATATCTATCCAACTATCCAGTCGGAGGCATAACCCCAGGCATTTTACCATCTTAATCTGTCACTTCCGCGATAATCTTACTCTCTATTGTATGGCGTGCGCTACCACGTGCCGGAAATTTTATACGTGGAGGGTTGAACATAACTTTAATAGCATATTTTGTGTGTGCACGCATAAATATTAGACATTAATTAGAAAATAAAAAATACAATAGCTTCTGATTATAGCACTCGAAAAGCTTACCAATTCGTTCGCATGAAATTCGCAAATTTGTTAATTAAAATAAGACGGTCCAAAAGTACTTTTTCTGCTATTACAACAATTGTACAAGAACTCTATCAGTAAAGTGCTATTTAAGTTATTCTTTAAAATTCCTTAAAATTTGGATTAAAAATTTATTAAGTATCAATGTAGTATTGATATTTATTTTTACAGGAGATTAAATTTATTAAAAAGATAAAAATACTTTTGGGCAAGTGATTTCTCAACAGTACGCACTATTAAAAAAGAATCGCTTATTGTAAAAACAGCGTTGATTAAGATAAAAAAAGGATTAATTTTTTATTGATTGATATAAATCTTTATAAATATTTAAAGGACTTTTTACATGTAGAGTTTACGTAAGTAAATTTTCGACTAACTGGTTAATCCTAGCAATCGAGATGGCTGGCCTACAGCCAGCAGCTTTGGCACACCCAATTTTCATCGAGAGAATTTAGAATTTAAATATAGATCATTACAGAATATGCAAGCTGCATTATTGTTATCATTTTGTAAGAAATAAGGACAACACGAGAAAAAAACCGGGCGCTCCGGAATTCAAACCGAGATATTGGTAGACTTCCGTCCTGTCACCAAACCACATAGTCCTCAGGCTGATAGTTTCTCTGTTGTATCTATTTTCTCCAAATTTCTTATAATTTACAGTATTACTATTTTTTTTACAAGCTGAGTCAACTTTTTAAATACGTACTTTTAGACCATTCCGTCACTTTTTATTTTTGACCGTATAAAAATTATATTTAGATATTAAGTAAATGTATCACTAAATATGAAGCAAAGACATTACGCACACAATATAAATTATACAGATTCATAAAATAGCAATTTAATTTTAATAAAAATTGATTAATTTATTTTAATATGCGATAAGTATATGTAATAAGAAAATGATCAAGATTACAAAATTTAACCTCCTTTATCGCTGCAACGATCACAACTATCTCTCATACACAGATTGATTAACTAAAACGGTACGTATGTAATAATTGCGCTGTAAAACTATATGCGTATTCTCGAGCGGTCTTACTCTAAATTTATAAATGTTATGTGTTATAAATTACAAATGTATTTATTACCGATTTTTACAGAATTTAAATAATATTAGTACAAGTTATTGTGATATTCTAAAATTCTTCACCTATTCTATAACGATCATTCTTTCTTCTATTAATAAATAAAACTAGACTCCAGTAACAAATAGAAGCGTCATATACTATCGAGACTTGGTGCCTAATAATATTTCTATCAAAATTTTAAGTACATTTTTTAGTCATATAAACTGCACCAATTATTCTGTCAAATTTAACATACAATTATAAACTAAAATTGAAATAATAATTTTACAAATTAAACTAATCGCAATTTAATAATGATAAGTACTAATTAACATCTCAAAACATTTCAAAGCACTTATTGCGAAAATTATACATAAGTTTTGATAAAAGTTCCCCTTTACACAGCCAGCCCCAAATGACTTTCAAGTCACGAGATCTTGATCTTGACCCCCCAAAAAGATCAAGGTCATTGACCTGTTCCGTCGTTCGTTATTCATTAAAAAGTTATTAATGAAAATATTTTTATGAATAGGATACTTTTTCAGCACAACATACACGTTCCAACATGAAGAATATATAACATTTTATTCATTATTTGATGATATAGCATTTAATGGATATAAAGAAACCATTAATTTAAAAAATTGCGGCATTCTGTTATTAAAATCATATCATTTTTTAAATTCTGCTAAACAATATTCGTAGTGTTCTTCTCCAAATCGTGGTAAAGCAGTATATCACGCCGTAACCGCTCAATATTTTGTGTATGTACACCAGATTCAACAAAATTAATAGAGTGATTAACAATCTGATGTACATAATTAAGTTCTTTTAAAGGTACTTATCCTTTTCACGAATCACTGTAAATTATACTGCCTAGTAATACGTTCCTGAATTGTTCTCGTTAACGTTTGTGCAGTACGATCTTTCACAGGAACAATAAAAAAAAATTTATTGTTCGATAGCAAAATATTGCCCACCAATTACCCGTCCTCGATTGTATTTTCTCCGACCAACTTTCGCTTCATCGACTTCCACTATCACGACCAAGCATACCAGTTGGCTCTGTAAAAAAGAATATTTACCTAAGTTATTTTACAATACGCTTATTAGCGTCATTATTAAATTAACACTCAATGATATTAATAAGACTGCAAAGAACTTATTGCAAAAAATACATTTTTTTAGAGTGATTTAAAATGTTTATTAACAGTATTATTAAATTGACGATTAGTTTAACTTGTGATATTATTATTTCAATTTTAGTTTCAAGTCCGACAGTATTTGTTACACAGTTTACTAACTGGAAAAATAAATTTAAAATTTACATAAAAATATTATTAGGTCACAAATCCAGCTTTATTAATGTGCGGTTTTTCAAATCTTGTGAAATGTTTCAATCGGCACGTGACGCATGCATGTTTGGGACATTCACTTGTTAGGTAAGCAACGTTGCCGTATTATGCCATTCGTAGGTATATATGTAGTGAGATTTGAAGAAGCAGTAAGACGAGTCGCTCCGTGTTTTTGCAATAGATGTCCTCGAATGGAAAATAGCGGAAAGCATTGAATATGGACATTTAATAACTGGTAGTTGTTACAAATAATTTTTATGAATAACTAGCATTAAATGTATTGCATCGACTATTTACAGAAGCAAATACACTATGGTATTCATTTATTTGAAATAAAAATCAGGATAATAGACGATCGCAACTATAAATTTGTTTTTTATGATATTTACTCCATAATGATTTCTTACATAATGCTTTAATTCAATCTCACATCACAGTTTAAATGTTTTGTCAATATAAATTTAATCATCTGTTTGAGTGTTACAAAGTAGAGTAATAAATTATAAGATTGAATCATTAGTAATGAAAGTAATGAAAAATTGTGACGTGATCGTTTATTAATAATTCAGTTGAAATGGGAAAAATATTCATACATTTACTTTATGAATAATTAATTCTATTACTTTATACATCGTGAAATAGATATTTCAAAACGATAACAATCTAGTCAGTGTACGCTCTTGATCTTAAATTGATATCTGTGTTACGAAAAACAGTTAGTTAAAATGGAACATAGTAAATAGATATTTTTAGTGCAAGGAAAAAATTGAAATAAATTCAATAGAAATATTAATTTAAAAGATTAATAAAAATATTATTTAAAATAAGTATTTTGTGTAACAAATCTAAAAAAGTAAATGGTATTTATTATTTATATTAACATTCACTTGAAATAAAATATTTATTTGATTATTTGACATTTTAATATTTCCTGATTTAATAATTTTTCTATTTTTTATTTTGTATTAAGAAATAGGAAATAGTAAACAGAAAATAAGAGATAATAAATAGAAGCATTTATCCAACCATAAAGTATCGAAATGTCAAGTAAATGTTAATATAAATGTATATAAATGTATAATAAGTAATATTATATTTATTTTTTTCATATTTACTATGCAAAATACTTATTTCAAACAGTGTTTTTTATAGATTCAATTTTTTAAATAAATATTTCTATTGAATTTATTTTAATTTTTCCCTAGCACTGATTATTATGCGGCTATTGTATATACTGTTTCAGCGCATAACAGAATCAGTAGACAATATAACTGTTTCGTGCGCCTAGCATTTCAAAACGTGGCTTATTCTCAATGAATAAGCAATTATTATATTAATTATTAACTTATGATTAATGATTGATTTGTACATATATCGAAGCTATATTTGTTTGATCAAATGCACAAATCAGGCTATCTGTTTATTTGCAGGTACGAATTTGAAGGAGCTCAGTGTCCTACTTAAAGAACTCATTAATTCAACAACGGAGAAGTTAATATTTTTATCGCCGTCTATTTATATAATAACTAAACGAATGAACCGCAACGGTTTATTACGTCGTTAATTTCCTGTACCTGTGGGGAGTGCCGAGCAAAGTGTCGTGAGAATGTGAATTAGCATACCGCTTTTTTCCATATTTTTAGGCGTGTTATCTCAGGTAGTTTCAGGTAGTTATCTCAAGTTGAATCGTTGTAACAGACAATAATTGTGATCGGATTTAATCTCTCTGTGGGTGAGTTAGTTGATCACCAGTCGTATTGACCAATAAGATACGGAGAATGGAAATGATCTTCATTATAGATTTAACTTTCATCTTTTCCACAGAGAATCTCTATATTGGATACTACATGTATATCACTCGGGATTAGGGGTTAAATTAGTCAGTTAAATTGGACTATCCGGCCGATGCTAAATACATTAGCATAATGCGGTTATCGCTTGAAATTTTTTCGGATAAAATTGCGCATTAATTCGCGTGTGGAACTTTGGAAGTGATATAAAGTATCGCGATCGTAGTTTTCTGAATGTTCGCGAGATTTCTGAAAAAATGTTGAAAGATTTATTAGAATTAACAATCCCCTCGCTCAGCTTGAGAGGAGAAGATTTAGGAAAGGCATTAGGTGGATCAACCTTGCGGTGAGTATTATTTTTTACTTGCGTATAATTTATATGTATTAAGTAAAAGTGGACTGCAAAATATTCAACATGATAACATAAATGAATAAAAAGAATCATATTTAGCTAAGACAGGTCTTGATGTCTAATAATATTTTTGTGCGAATTTTTACAATTTCCAGTTCAAGCCAACTGCACTTCAATTTTGCAGCTAATATAAAAATTTATTTAATAAGAGAATAAAAATTGCGTTGAGCTAATAGTAAATTATTAATTTTTTATTCGCGTTTTTTCGAATATTACAAAATCAGAGACATAATATTTTAATTATTTTAAAATTATTGATCAAGCCATACCGCTAATAACATGTACCTGTTATTGATAAAATTATTACAAAATTTGAAATTTATTATTGGTTGTAGAATTGAGAATCTTTTCTAAAATAGTTTTATCTCAAAAAATAATATTACAATAAAACGAGCAAATGCTCTCATTTACTTATTTTATTGTAATATTATTTTTTAATATTGAGAGTTCTATAAAATTTATTTTACAATTTTATCTCATTTTCTGTAAAATGTTTTAGAGATGTGAACGATGGAAAAATACTAAAATTTTAGAGTAAAAAACTTGGAAATTAATGGTTCTTTTTCTTTGATTTTGATAATTTTTTACTCGGATATTTTTTTTAGGTTATTTAAGTCTGTCGCATTGCTTGAAATCCCCAAAATTTTTGCACTTAAAGATAATTTAATTTTAAAGATAATTTAATTTAATTTTTGCACTTACGATTAGAAAAATAGATTCGGGCGTTGAAAAAAAAGAAAGCACATAGATGCTGAATGCAAAGAGTACAAGCAACGCAAACAGACTTATTAACCTATTATCAAGAATTGCAATAGCCAATAATACATATTTCCGCTTTCATATAAAATTATAAAGACAAAAGTATATTAAAAGATATCGCGAAATAACAAGAAAAATGAATTTTATTTCTTTTTCTACATACACATTTTTTACAGTAAAAAACTAGTTTTTTACTTGATACTTTTCTTCGAAGTAAAAAATATCGTTTTTTTATATCTCTAGTTATTTTAAATTATCTTAAATTCTGCAACATGTTAAATATTTATTAACGGATATTTCAAAGATTTATTTTGCATTGAATATTTATTAAAAACAATTGTGAACATTTTTTCCTCGTTTTTCCTAATGCAATTACTCTCAGTGAGGGAGTGTTATCATTGTCCCTCACGTCAAGTAAAACTAACAAATGCGTAGTTTGTATCGGTAGAGAGTAGAAACAATGTTCAACGTGGAGAATTATTCTTTAATAATACCTGAGATTATATTCGCAAAATTTTTTTATTTTAATGCTCTGTTGAAAGTTGGGAATTTCTGTTATAGAAATTATAATACATTTAGGTTTTCTCAACATGTTCTCAGAAACAATAGTTGGCAACAACTACTATGAATATTTTAAAGTCGAATAATGATATTAATTAAATAACATGTTTTAGAGAGATTTTCTTCTTCTTCTATTATGTTCTTCCATTGATATTAGTAATTGTATTAGTACTATGTTAATGATAATAAAATACGTTTATGTTGATTAATGTTGAAGAAAGTGTAGTAGCGAATATGTAAATTTCATTGTTTAACTTTTGATTCCTTTTAAGAAATCATTTCTAGGTACTGGATATCTCGCAAATCTAGGAACATTAGTATTAATTGCGCGCGCGCGCGCGTGTGTGTGTGCGTGTAATAATTTATATTATTTTAGTAAAATACATGCGCATATTGTAAGATGTTATTTAATAGATTTTAATTTTTATCAATTTGAATACATTTTTGAGAAGAATTTATATTTTTTTAATTTGAGTATCTTATCTATTGAGTAAATACTTGAATTTAACTAAAAATGTGCGAGTATTTAAATAATTCGAGATAAATCGAAGGGGTATCTTGATATTAATGGAATATCAATAACTATTATATATTATTTAAACATTACAAAAATATAACAACTTGTTGAATTTCAATTCGATATTTTAATAAATTTCTCAAAATTCTGTTGCATTTAAAAAATGGTAATGAACATTAATCATAAATAATTGTAAAAAGAAATATTTGTAATTTCATAATAACTCTATACAAAGATATCAGTGGTAACTATCGTATTCGCTGTCAAAATCATTGATATCGGGAAGTTTGGAAGAATTTGTTTCTTTCTGTAATGGAACTGCTGATATTTGATAGATCGTTTAACATTTCTTTTGATCTCACAGAACCAAACGTAGAAGCAAAATACTCTAAGTTTACTTTTTACCTTGAAGATCGTTCTTCTCTCTATCGAATATTAACTGATATGTTATTCGAAAGGGCTTTGCTCAAATCGTTAAATCAGTCATCCTTCAATAAATTTATTGAAAATGCCATTTTTCATGACTTTAAAGATCTATAAATTTAAAAAAAGTAATGCTAGTATGCATTGATGCTATGGATGGTTTGTTTAGTTCGTTTAGTTCGTTGATACATTATCAAAATAGAATGTAGATATGCTTCCGAAAATACTGCAGAATAATATTTATTATTACATAGATCAATTACGAGGAACTCGTATTGCATCGAGTGCAATAAATAAATTACAACAAAAGAAAATATCTATCTAAAATTTATATATATTATAAAGAATATTTTATGATGATCAATTAGATTAGCAATGTAGATCATGAATGTCACTAGAAAACATGTTCACAATAAAATAAGATAATGAATTTTGCGTACGCTTTTAAAGTAAATTTTTTTTCTGTTTCACTAGAAATGCTTGCTTTATTTATTATTAATGCGACTCGCATTCGTGTTAAACGCTTTTTTCCGATATAACGCTCTTGTCGCTGCCTCTTCTATGTGGACTACGCAATACTCGTTGGTTACGGGTGGTTATGGTCGTCGGTAATTCCCTATCATTGCTCATTCTTCTTAAACTGGTATCTCTATCCAAGTGATTTTTATTCTTGGCACACTTTGGCTTCTGCACGTTCGTATAGATAAGATAAACAGCGAGAATTCCCACCAGAAACATCGCGATTCCTACGCCGCTTACCGTACATACCTGTAATGTGGAAATTAGTTATATTTACATTTTTGAACTTCTAACTTTTCGTAAAAGAAAGCTAGAAGTTCTAAAAAAAATGCCTTATTTTTTAATAGAAATAATTCTTTTTATATAATGTGCAAAGATGAATATTAATTTCTAAGATATTTTGAAAAGTATAATTTTTGAGAAATTATTATCTACAAAAGAGAAAATTTTTTGACAATATTTCGGAATTTTTTTTTAATACATAATCTATTACAAAAACAATAATTTTAATTTATTGCGTAATTTATAATTTTGATATATATGAAGTTTTAAAAATGCTTTTTTAAATTAAGGAATCTCAGAGATTATTTACATAAAATAATGCTAAAAAACGCTACCATTGTCCACCACTCGTTATCGCTCATTCCCGAAACTAAAACTTGTGTCGCCTCATTATTCTTTATCTTAATTTCTTTGATAGCTGTAGCGCATCTTGATTGCGGTTCATTTTCTTCTTTTAAAAGTTCTCTAAATATATATGACATATTGTTATTGTTTCTTGGCGCTCCGTAATTTTTCTCAGTTTTCTCCGTAACGTTCTTTTCTTTTTCGTTCATTTTACTCTTATTCCAATAAACTTTTGTTTTATTTTGGTGAACAACTATATCACCCAAACGTTCTAGATTACTTGTTTTCTTTTTCATAAACAGATTAAGAAACTTTGGTGCTGCTTCCGATTCCTTGTTATGTGTCATTAACATGTTCGACACCATGTGATTCCACTCTAAAGCATTTATTTGATTGTTGCATTTTTTGTTTTTGCTGTAAAATGTAATCGATGGATTCAATCTTATGCAAAAAGTTGTAATAGTGTTAAATTGCACTTATGACATAATTAAAGATTTATTGAGTGCCTAAGAAAAAGTCTTACTGATGTCGATTAATTTTATTAACGTTTAAATATAATTTTTTTAATTCAGGTTTTTTTCTTTTTAAATATAAAAAGAAAAAAGTTAGTTTTAACTTATAAAATCAATTGGTTAACTAATGAATAGTCAATTAATGGTAACTATCGTTGGCTTGCCATTTAATAATATTTAATAAATAAGATTTCTAATTAATTATTTAGTTAATCATTGACTACTCGTTAATTGACTAATTGATTTTATAGATTAAATTAACTTTTTACTACTAATATATATATATATATATATACATATATATACACACACACAATAGATTATCAATATTATATATATGTATGTGCATAAAATATGATATTCCGTTTTTGTGTACAACGTTTCATAAATCTTTGTCTAACTCTGCAGAGATAACTGCGATTATTTAATCATGCTTATAGTCAGCTATAAATCTATTAAATTGATAGCTTTTTTAATTATTCTTGACTTACAAAAGCTACTAAATTAAATGTTATTATTTATAATATAATCACCATCAAATAATAGAAATTTTTCAGTGCTCACCATAATGCATTTAAAGCTTTTACGTAAATTTTTATAGCATTTTCTAACCATCTGACTCGTTTCAATTCCTCGGCATCATATCTTCCCAAACCGTTATCGGGTGCCCACCATTGCGAATTCTCAACTCTCCACTCAAGACCATTAATTACATTTCTATAAAAAAAGAGTTTAATGAAATATCCCTGTTATATTTGAAAATTAAAAATATTTATATTTATTATTATACTTTGTAAAACAGAAATATTGTCGAAATAAATTTAATTTTCCCAGACTACTAAAGATATGATATTTCTTATTTTCCTCTTAGGTCTACTTTAGACAATCTATTTCATATTGAATTTTTTTTTATAATGTTCTTTTCTTTTTCGAAGAAAAATTTGACGTGAATTGTATATCTAAATTGTTCACTTGAAGCGGTTTTAAGTATATACATATTAATGTATGTACATACACACATGTATGTACATATATACTCGTATTTAGTCGTATCGTACCAAACACGAATTATATAATTGATTTCATATCGTTATATTTTTATAACTGATTTTATTTTAAACGCAATGCTTAAACATTGAGTCCAAACTTGTTATAATAATTGGTACCATGTTATAGAATAAATCTACAAGGGCTGTGTTCCAAAATTGTTTGCCAGCGCTAGCAGCACTATCAACACCGTTTCAAAAATCGTCGTAGCACGCTGTGTCAGTGCTGCGAGAGAGTAAAAACGTTACTAATTTTGTTTGTCGTTTTCTGCTGCGGCTGCTGCGGCTGAAAAGGTGAAGCAGCTACAGCATCCAAGATGGCGAGTATCGTTTCAATTTGAAATGCGTATTCGTATACCAATTGCATATTTACTAAAATTGGAAAGTTGTTAGTAGCATTTTTATGACGACGTACCTGCCGAGCTAGCAATCAATTTTGGAACACAGTCAAGACAACTTATTTTATTTTTTTTATTTCTTAATGTCCAAGTAACATTAAATATCATGTTATATAAAAAAAATAAATGGTGAATGCAATAGTATTATATATACATAAATGCATTAATTTATTGTAAAGAGCACAAAAACAACACAGAAAAATTGAGCTATCATATCATATACCGATGCAAATGTTTTTTGCATGCTTTTTTTATGCGTATATTTCGTATAAGTGTGCACTGTACGAATATATATGTAATCTATGAATAAATTTATAAATTTTTTCTTTTTCCAATTAGGAACTTCAAAAATACGAGCTTTCTTTATAATTTCAATTTTTTGACTTTTCGTATTCAGAAAGAATGATAAAGAAAATGATAAAGAAAATTATTGAAAAATTTACAAAAAAGAAACAAAAGTTGATGCTATTGCTTTAAAACAATATAAATGCCTGTTGAATTGAAAAATATTTTAACCGACATTCTGATATTTTTATGAAAAAAAATTCCAAAGATACTTTTAACAGTAAAAACATTATTGCAAATAGATGTAAAATGATAAAATTAATTTAGGTAACTAATACGAATGAATTTTATATTTGAATGAAAATAAGTTTTAAAAGTTAAAAAATTGTGATCTGTATCTTCATATTTACAATATTTTCTGTAAAATAGAACATATGCGATTTACAGAGAGTAAACGAGATTTTTTTACGTTGATTTAAGGATGGCCTCGGCGCGGCTGCTGTTCCGGAGAGTGAAACGTTAAAGTGCTGGGAAAAAAGCAAGGGTACTAGCAATTCACCGTGATTTATCTAGGATCCTTAACCTCGATTGAATCCGATACATTCGACGGAAGTAGAAATCGTGATTTCAGGCGTGTATTTTTTATACATGGCAGTTTAGTTGCGTAATTGGCACGACACACGATTGATGTAAAATTATTTTAGTAAATGTAGTTAGATGTTACTAATGATTAAAGTGAAGCTAGTAATAATAATGAGGAATATATGTGCATTTTCAATGAGAAAAATCTCCAATGTTTCTAATAATAGTGAAATATTACAATGCCAACGCAACAATGTCAGTGACACAAAAATTCAATTTCATTAATTACGTGTAACGAGTCACTTTAGTTGCATTAAAATCCGTTGTAATTTACAATGGATAACCTTTTATATTATTCCGTTTCTATGTATATGCGTAATTATGATCAGTAATTCATTAGCATTAATGATGTATTTTGAGACAAAAATCTTGGAATATCGTCTGAGAATTTTTTGTCTCATTTAAAATAACATTTCCTATTATTATGCGTCATTTGTTTTTTCTCATCTTATCTTGAAAAAATTAGATCCATATCAGTTACAATGAATGTACTGTCTCATTATATAATTGAACATTTCAAATAAATAAAACGTGAAGTCTATAATTTCAAACATCTAGAAATAAAATTCTAAAATCTTGAAAAGAAAGAATATCGGCTATTGAAACGAGAAAATTTTATTAGTCATTCATTTTTATCTAGAATAAATCTCGATATTGATGTTTTCTCATTTTATCTCGCTCTAATGCAATACTAATTAGCATAGTGCACGTAACTTCATCAAACGATTTGTAATTAATAAAAAATAATAAAAAAATGATAATTGAGAAATATACCGCCTGTACATAATTTATATACTCATTTTAAGCAGTTTATAATGAGATTATAAAAAGGTACGTTAAAGATATAAATAAATACGAAATTATATGATATTATACAATTTAATATACTGCACAATTTAATTTAGGGTTTAAATAAGTTGAAAACATTCTTCTTTTACCCATAAAAAAATTTATGTTTATTAACGCATTTAATGATCTTTTAAATTATACAATAACTGTTTAAAATGTTAAAATATATAAAATAAACTAATATATTTGATTAAATTTGATTAAAAATTATTTTAACGAGAAAATTATTATAACAAAAAGTTTCTATCGATAAAGACGTATTCTTTTTTTTTTAAATTAAGTATGTAAAGCATACGAAATTTGTAAATAAATTTTATAAAAACAATTTGTACTTACCTAGAATCTTCTAAAAGCAATATAGTGTTAGTTGAATCTATATGATTCAAGTAATTTTTTAAATTTCTCTCGCTGATAATTATTATGGTTGCATTTGTAAGTTCATTAAAAAAATTATCTTCGGGTTTTCCAATATGTATAATATGTGACGTATAATCTATACCAACAAAATTAATAAAATATATATTAATTTGAAAATCTTATATATAAATCATTTTTAATTTTTGAGCTAAAAGAAATTTTTAAATTAAAAGAAACATATTGAATCAAAGATAAATTGGAATATAAACAAAAATTTATTTTAAATCTTAAATTTTAAAAAACAATTTTAAATGAATTTTACTACAATAAAATTTTGATTCAAAGTTTTGCTTGCTATTAATATATTTAAAATATATTTAACACTAGAAATTTTTTCACATTAGTATATGATGAAAAGAAAAATCTACGTAGACTACATTCTGTATGACGTCTGAGCCGTAGAAAGTGCTACATCGAAAAAAATATGAAGAAAAGTTTCTGTCAAGAAATGAATGAAAAGCAGTCTATTTCATGAAGCGTGAAGACCGATTGTGTTGCCGAAACGTATACGAAGTACGTTATCGAGAAAAGAAGAATGGTTCAAGTCACATAAAATTAGAAGAGTCTATATAGCGCAATATATTCACTATTTATAAATGACACAAATTTAGTTACAGAAAATTGAATAATGTATGAATAAATGAGTGCCAGAAATAAGATTGAAAATCAACACGATTCCTGTTTTCAGTTATGCCACTATAAAATTTAGAAGAAAATATATTGCGCTATGTAACCTTTTCTTTAATGCGACTTGAACCTGCTTGAATCGTTCTTCTCATTTTCTCGATATAAATCGTACTCGTATGCGTTCCAATATAAGCCGATATTCATGCCTTATGCGAAATAGACACTTTTTATTCATTTCTTGATGTAAACCTTTCTTCATGTTTTTCTCGATATAGCATCTTCTACGGCTCAGGCATTGATATAATACCAAATTTAAAAGAGATCTATTATAATTTATCGTATTATCTTTAAATACTTATTAAAGTTTAATAATAATTATTATATATGAAATATCAAAGATATTCATAAAAAAAATTGCATCATTAATATTCTATATCTAGGCATATAAATGATACTTTAATCACGCGATATTTTAAAAAATCTAAAATTTATTATAAATTTTATTATAAAAACTTTTTTGTGATATATACTTCACATAATTAAAAAATATTATGCTAGAAGAGAGATATTTTATATACAGAAAATAAGATATTTTATATACAGAAAATAAAAACATAGTTTCGTACCTTCTTTATCGTTATCATGGATTATAACACACAAATTGTTCGCTATGGCATTTACCGTCAGCTTCTTTGTAATATTTTGTATGTCATCATCGTTTTCATCATCAACTTTAGTTACTAATGTGAAGGATTTCCATTTTAAAATTTCTATCATTTTCAAGATTCCCTACAAAAGAGATAATAATAATATAATATATCTCAATCAAATCGTTGATTAATATAAAGTAGCGCGTGGAATTAGACAAATTTCAAATTTATCTCTATTAACCATTATGGCAAGCATAATGAAATAACATTTATATAAAAATGTTATTAACAAAGAAAATAACGGATATAAAAGTGTAAACATTCAAACAATATAAAATAAATAATGATCCAGTCACTTGTGTATGCATCTAAAATAGGAACATATGCTCGTATTCTGCGGTAATAAAAACACTAAATATTTAAATGCCGAGTTATTATTTTTTGTATTTACATATCTTATTTAATATCCAATCGGACTAATACAATTCAACTATTGTATTAGGTGTTGGAATTAATTCGTAGCGTTTTTTAATGAAAGAATGTTATTTATTTCACATGAGCATTAAAAAATACATTAATGAAAGTACTTCCCATCTCTTGTAAAACGCTACGAATTAATTCCAACACCTAATATATATTATGATTGTGTATACGCTATAATTTTTTATATGAAATAATACAACTTATGATAGAGAATGTGATAAAGAATGTGATATAAAAACTTTGAATGAACTTGAATTTTTGATATAAAATCAATTTTTGCTATTAAAATTTGGAACATATAATAAAAATAAAATTGGGTGAAGAAGCAGTATGTGTATTGTATTAGGTGTTGGAATTAATTCGTAGCGTTTTTAATGAAAGAATGTTATTTATTTCACATGAGCATTAAAAAATACATTAATGAAAGTACTTCCCATCACTTGTAAAACGCTACGAATTAATTCCAACACCTAATAATTAAACTCAATAGCATAATTAGTATATTTGTATGTATACTGTCAGACGCATTTCAATATTGTTCTAATACAAATGCTTGCGTAAGGATAAACTGCATGCATTATGCAAATATTACAATAAGCTCAGCATCACAGTTAATTATTAGACTTTAATCGAACTATCCTCACATCTTCAGTTTATACTGTTTATAGAATAAAACTTTATTCTCGAGTTTATTTAATGATTAATTTACGAGTTTATTTAGTAATTAATTAATAACAAACCTCCACTAAATAGGAGTTCGATTCCTCCATTAAAGGGTGCAAATAGGGAGAAATTGATGGTTTCTTGATAATATGCGGCACTTTCAATATCGAAGTTATTTTGTATATCGCCTCGATGTTGGTCATAGTATCCGGTCCGATAATTCCTATATAATTATGAGATACATAAATAAAATGATTACGTAAGTACCTAAGAGATATAAACTTTATATTTGTAAAGGTATAATATTTTCATTAGCTATGTACTCTAGTTTATGAAAGAACTTTTGTCAATCGATGTAATGATCTTTCGAAAATTAGTAATCAAATATTCGTATAAAGAGACAGTCATTGTTCCTACCTAGATAATAAGGTGGATGCAAACAGTTGACATCTGCCCATACTAAAGCTTTCATCATCGCTTTCAGAGCACCTGTTATATTTCCGCATGTATCCACAATGGTAATTTCTATACAAATATTTTGTTTCATAGTTGAATTTTTTATTTAACTATATTGCATTTTGCTTTGTATTGGAATTATTGTCCGTTTAATAGCGTATATTCGGGAAATGATTTGATATTCAATATTACAATATGTTTAATCGAAATGAATTATTCTACTTCATACTTTACCGATTTCAAATCCGTCGGTTTTGTTGTTGTGAATCTCTGCGAGAAGCTTGGCGGCCTCATAAAGCATAACACCTGCCGGCGATAGCATTGTACACGATGGATCATCGTGCATGCTTGTTAGAAATGAAATTTGCACTATTTCGCTACATTTTGTACGTGCACCGCAGGTACACGCGGCGATCACCACGAAGATTACGTACCAAATTCGTGGAACTCCCATGAGTCTCAAGACAACAGATCAATAGAGATGGAATCAATTGTTCTGAGGTATTCCAAATTATAAGACGTGAACGCGCGTTCTCTACCCTGTATATATTTTTTATTATAGTAAAATATATAGATCCACGTACCAATATATAGATAGACGTACCAATAATGATAATATTAAATGAATAAATACAATTTTTTATCACACGTTGCACGACTCACCGGCGTAAAAATAATTACCAATTTTTTTCATCAAGTTAATCACAGTCACTACAATGAAAGTTAATAAATAATCGCCGTTTAAAGCGTAATCATTCTTTTATTTTTAAATGAATATCCGCAATATGATTACTTCCTCGTAGGTTCATAATTATTAATACGATTATATTATACATGGAGATGGGAAGGAAAAAAGGTTGAAGTTCGTGTGTGAGAAATAAACTAATCCACAATATGTAATTCTGTTTGAAACGTATCACGATGTAACGTCTCTTGTGACAAATCTTGTTAAACTATTCGCTTCAATT